GAAGATCTTCCTTTTAATGTTGCCCAGTCATTCCAGCAAGATAAAAGGATTTGGAGGAATGGTGTCATGGACGGTTTTTGCTATACAAGGTACTAGTTTATTTGTGTCGCTGTCGTGTATGTGCCAATAATGTGTGTATGGTACACCGGACTTTGGTACAATATGTAGTAAAGCTCTGCCTTCTGAATTGTTCAGTAATATAATGTAGTAGTACTCCGTATGTGTTGTGTGTCGCCTGTCGCGTGCCAATGTGTGTATGGTACGTCGGACTTCAACTTTGTTGGTATGGTGTAAAGCTGTGCGTTTAGAAGTGTTTAGTTGATTCAGCAAGATCAAATATTTAAGGGGCTAGACTTACTTTGGTACTAAGCTCTGCCTTTTAGGTGATCAGTTGATTCAGCAAGATCAATATATGTTTTAGCTTAGGGAAGTGACTTTCAAATAAGTAATCTATGTATTTGTAATTTGTGAGTGTTTTGTTAACATGTAATGAAAGCTTAAATAAAATCTTCGATAGAGTGTAAAACATATTACTATGCTTGATGTCTCAAGCACCAATTTAAGCTTTCGGTTGAGTTGGTCCTTTAACATGTTATCGGAGCCAACGTAATACAAAGGTTATAGGTTCAAATATCATCCACCCCCCACTTTCAAGTGGAATATTTCGTGCAGGTATGAGTAGTGCCCATGCTGCATCCACACTTCAAGCCCAAAGAGTTCTTATCAACAGTATTACGAATATGTATGGAAAACAAAAATGACAGCACATAGTAGTATTCTGTAATTCATAATCAAAAGAACAAGACCAATGTGAAAAAGAATTTGTAGTATTTAGAATAAAAGAACATATAGCTTTAATCATAGATCAAAACAATACTTATAGCTTCACGCCTTCACTTCAATCAACATATGATAGTACAATGTCTACTACAAGAGGAGGGGTGAATTGTAAGTATATAGAGAATAGTGAACTTTTTGCGGAATTGAAAAATGTAAGGAAAGAGAGAACACACGATATAGGCTTTTCGAATATTTTCACTATGTAAAGACTCTTTTACAAAGGTGAAACTTCTGCCTACACTCAAGTTCCTTTAGGAACTCAAGTATCCCAGCTACGGTCCCTCAACCGCAGCTTGACTCTCTTGCTTGATTCGACTCTGAATCACTTACAACTCTCTAACAGACTCACTTAAGTCTCTTAGTTACAATTCTCTCAAACCCCAATCCCAAATTACAAAAGTAATTATAAGACTTTTCCTAATGCACTAGAGAAGATTAAGACAGAAGGGAACTCAACACTCTTTTATATTGAACGTGAAAGCTCTTAGAAAACTTAAACTCTTTAAACTGAATGTTGTACGTTGTAGCTTCCAAAATTATATTAGAATCTGTTGCATGTCTTTTATAAAGAGATGAGAAGTCTCAATCATATTTCCCACTCCTCCCATAACCCACGTACACCTTAACTTGGGGAGTAAGTCAAAAGTGAACGTTGATCAGAGAGTGAGGAATATGATCTCCCTGGCTTTTCTCTTAAACATCCAACGTGCTTCCTTAAGAATAGATAACCAATTTTACTTGGTCAAATAAAATCAGTTAGAAGATATTTATTTATTATTTACAAAGATTAAACTTTAAATAATTATTTAATTTAAAAAATAACAAATTAAACTTATCTTTTAATTAAACAATTATTTATCTTTTACCTATTTACAGAAAATATATCTATTTAAAAACTGATTTTATTTTATCCTTTAATTAAGGAATAAAACTGATTTTATATTTTACGTTAAAACATTTAGTTCCTTACTGAGTTCCTCTCTCCTCATAAAAACTCTAGTGCTTACAGTGAATACTAAAGACTGGGATTTGTTCTTCTTCTTCTTGAAAGCTTGCATACGAATATCGAAGCTTCCAATTCAGTTGCTCCTACTCCGAAACAGTTAATTGTTATTGCCTGAATCTTTTCATTCTACCAAAGGCTATCAAACACCATTAGTCAAAGTTTGTTTGTTTGTCAATCATCAAAATACCAAGAGGTTCAACAACATATGTTGTTATTTTGACTAGGTGTATATCTTCTAATAACTTGCGCTGGGAAATGGACTAGCAAGGAAAAAGCGTATCTTGAGGTTACCAAAAAAAAAAAAAAAAAAACAAAAAAATCCCTTGGCCACATGGAAATTAATTTTTTTTTTTTTGTTGTTTACTTTACAATGCAATCCTTTTATGCTCCACATCTCAGGTGATACACTCATACTCACTTAATTTACTTCATCAACATCCGATCCATCCATCATTCATGGATGCATTGGGTAGATCGGGTAAAAATTTAGGTAAAATAAAATATATAAGGGTAATGCTATATGTAGCCCCAAGGGATATATATATATATATATATATAAGCATTAAATACACTCTTGAAAATTGTATAAAATTAGAAATTCATGATAAAAACACGCGCAAATCAGTATAATGAGTGTTTATATTTTTATGATTATCTAGTTTTGTACGATTTTTTAGTGTGTATTTAATATATAAATACAATTTTACACTTTCATAATTAAAATCAATATTTGAGAATTAAAATCAAGCTTCTAACATTCTTTGAAGCAAAATTGGCAAATGCTAGTATATCTTCATAATCATTTGTTTCCAAAATTTCGTTCTTAATTGCCTCGTTGATGTAAACTGAATAGACATTAGAACTAAAAATAGACTACTCTCTTAATTTTGCCTAAAAAATATTGGTAATCTAGTACAATTAAGTGAATTATCCATTTCTATTCTAAAAAAAAAGGTGAATTATACATTTAAAAGAGATAATTAAGGGAATTCAATTTTCAATTTTATTTAGAAATTCAAAAACTATAGTCAAAAGCATTAATTTCATTTTGGAAAAGGTAAAGAATTGGAAGAGTTGGATTTTGTTTGGAAATTGTGGGCTTGTTTTACGAGTAAGATGATGAGGTGGAGATTTTTTTTAGTTGAAGTATTAGAACCAGATTTATCTAAATTTTGGACCCTGATTTTTGTCGGGTCAAAGACGGGCCTGATGGATCGAATATGGCATGGTTGGATCTATTATCAATCGAATTCGACCCAATTCGTCATCTGACTTATCAATTATTCATTTAAATTCAAGTTATCCATATTTTTGGATTGGGTGAATGATTATCTATCGCGTTTGTACGATGTTACCACCACTACCTCCAATATATCAATTTTACTTCTCCAACCACCATATCCACCATTCCACTTAAAAAAAATTTGTGACAGAATGAGTGAAAGAAATTTCTCACGTCTGATCAGCGTCATTACAATTGCATCATCCTTCAAAATGCTGTTGACGTCACTATTGTATTATAGTGTTTAGGTGTCATTCACTTATAATTAAGGATTAATTAATTTAATTATCATCAAAAGAAGCCTACTCCTACTCATCATAGTACGAAAAAGCAATTTTCATATTCTGCTTGTCGGCACACTGAATGTCTTACTATCGAAGTCTACCATTAGTCCACTCTTATCCATGAGGTCGCCCTAAAATTATTAAAAAACTTAATCCCTTCATTATAAATTGTAAAGTATATGTCCACCCCTTTGATAATAAGTGGTTTTTGATAGCCTTATGTTTTTTTTAGTGGTTTGGGCACCCAAAAGGCCGGCCAACAACATTCAATTTGAAAGATAGTAAAAATTTGGTCATTAATAATTATAATTATATACATAAAATATTACAGAACTAGTTTAGGTTCCATACATTGTATGGGGATTACTTATAATTAAGTTATTACAAAGTATAATATTCTATATAAGTAAATTATGAAGTATAATATTGTATATACATAGAATATATTCTCTGAAAACTTGACAAAAAAATATTGTAAAAAGATATGTCATATCATTTTTAAGGAATAGGAAGTATATATTTAGAAAAATTAATCAAGATATTTCTATAACATTTGTATCACTAATTTCGTAAAAAAAAAAAAAATTAACAAAAAAAACTAAAGACATATCAGGTGATGACATGTGTCATTGTTGGTGTGTCTTTTAGTATATAATTATTGATGATTGATGATTGATTATTGATTATTGATGTTAGAGGAAAAAAAAAAGTTGATACTTGAAAAGTATGTATAAGTAAACTATTCTGACGACATATTCTATATTATAGAGTAAGATATGAATTTACAATTTTAGTGATAAATATGGTCAAGCTTAATATATTGAGTTCCCTTATAACTCGAAATAACATGTGTGTTGCGTAGATAAACAATTTATAGAACTAAACAAGAAGCAACCATTTCAGGTCGGTATTCGTTATCATCAATTTAAAATCTTATGAACCCAACAGGGCAACAGATGCCAAAACATAATAGGCGTCGACCTTGTGTGACAAGGCCACGACGGCTTAAAAATCGTTGCACAATATGTACTTTGGATGACGGAAGTGGTTGTTTAGACGATATTGAGGTTTAAAGCATTTTAAGAAGATGTATATACTAAATCTGTTTCAAATATATTGCAACATTTTAATTTGACTAATTTTATTTTTTGATGATTAATAGCTAATTAAGAAAGAAAATAAAATCAACCAAAATAATTTTGTGGTAGTCATCCTTAAAATGGCTACCATTATACTACTTTTTTATTGGTTGATTTTAATTTATTTTTTAATGCCAAATGTAATTATAAATAATTTATCTAATTTTTAAAATTCAATTATTTATTTTGAAATATTTTTTTTTAATTTCATAATTATTTCAGTTTTTTTTAAAGAAAAACCATCTTTTATTATAACATAAAGTTAAAAAAATAATTCATAAATCAATTATAAAAATATTAAAACTAAATTTTAAAATATAAAAAAATATTTATAATTATTTTTGATATAAAAAATCAATAAAAAATTAGTACGGAGTATAATAATAGTCCATAAAAATTTTATAAAAAGTGGAAGATTCGGGAATACTAATATACGAGGTGGGCGCACACTAATAATATGCTCTTCTAGAGTTCTGATAGTAATAGTACTATAAGTAAATGCTACTCCGTAATTAGCACAAATTCAGCATAATTAAATTAACCAAAAAAGATTAACCAAAACTCTCAAAATTAAAAAAGATGAGCAATAATCAATGGTCAATTTTACGTGGGAGTACATATGGAAAAATGTACACACTTAATTTTGATGGATCACATAATAATCAAGCAAACAAATGTGGTGCTGGTTGTGTTATAAGAGACAGCCAAGGAGAATTGGTTGTTGCAGCTGCTTATAATCTTACTGAAACTTATTCCGAATATTGCAACGTTGCTATTGTTGAAGCTGTTGCTCTTTGTAACGGGCTGAAGTTGGCGAAAGAACGTAACCTCAACCTCAATCTCATTAAAGGGGATAATACGGAGGTCATTGATCTTGTGTTGGGCCGTAGTCGAAGCCCATCTAGACCGCAGTTAAGCGGGATCATTCAACAGATTGTTGGTATGATCGATTGCTTTTCTCAGAAGATCGTGCCTATTAACAGAGAAGCTAATCAAGTTGCGGATAAGTTGGCATCTTGGGGGTGTAACAGGCTTCAAGAAGGGGGTCGTAAGATCTATACCACCTCTGCTGATCTTCCTCCTCAGGTGTGTTGAACTCTTAATTACTCCGTATCTTTTTTTCTTTTTTTGAAGGTACTTTATTAACTATTTTGCCTCTTCTTTTCTTAATAATTTTGATGCCAAAACGCTTTTAAGGGTCTAACTTATTTTAAAAAATTGGTCAACCACTATCTGTTAAATTATCATATTTGCGAACAATTATTAATTTGACAAAATTTGCACAAAAAAAAAAAAAAATTAAAAATTAATTTGACAAAATCCGTCAAATAATAGTGGTTCCAGTATTAAAACACAGTACCAAGCAATCACATTTTTTTTAACCAAATTTGTTTTCCTAAAATATGTTGTTTTTGTACATATTTATTTGGAAAAATTGGTTTTAATAATCCCAACTTTGAGCGATTTTCTTTAAATAATTTTTTTTTTATTATTATTCTAGAATAATTCCAACTTATATAAGTATCTTCCTAGCTAAAATAGTCCGATGTGTTATTTTGTTGATTTTGCTTATCCCTTTTGGGACTATTATCTATAACAAAAATTAAAAGTTCAGATTATTATCTATAACAAAAATTAAAAGCTCAGATTATTATTTTCTTTAAATAGGAAAAATTAAAAGTCCATAATAATAAAAAGTTGGGATTATTTAAAGAAAATCATCAAAGTTAGGATATTAAAACCAATTTTTCCTATTTTTTTTCGTACCAAATATATGTGATTTTTGTATCAAAATGGTATTGTGTGAGATTCATAGAGTGTAACACTAAGACTTGGGGCTTGTTTAATTCACCTTATTTATATGCTGATCTAATCTAGTCTAATATGATCAGATCTAGTATGATCTGATCTAATTTAATTGTCTGATTTGACCTATATGCACGATACTATAAAGAAGACATATATCAAGTGGGGTCTTGTTAGATTCGTATTAATGTGTATTTTATTAATATGTAATTTTTATAATTTTTTTTATTACCTACTTAAAGATATTTAGCGATAAAAAACCGTACATAAAACGATGATCAGATTTGAACTTATTTTTTCTGATGTGATTTAAACTTATTTTTATTGAAACAAGGCCTTACTTTTAGGTAGTTGTTCATAAAAGTAAGTTGAAAAGATTTCCTATAAATTTTTATACCATCTTGCTTTTATTATGAGATAAAAAATTATGGATTAGACTAGAAAAATTCAAACCAGATCAAATCATACCAAAATCTTTGAAAATTCAGACGGTAATATTAACTCTCCAACTTAAAACTATGAGGAAACCATACCAAATACCAAATACTATGAGGAAACCATATTTTTAGTTTGTCAAATATTAACTCTCCAACTTAAAACTATGTTAGTTCACCTTAATGTTAATTATTAAAGATCAAATCAGAAAAAATAAGTTCGGCTTATGATATATCATTTTAAGTGTGGTTTTTTTTTATTGCTAATAAATATTTTTAATTTGTATAAAAATAAATACATAAATTACATATAGATAACATTCATATTATTATAAATCAGATTAGAACAAAATTAAGTCAAATTAGACAATCAGATCAAATATGAAAAAATAGGTTCAAATCAGAAAAAAAATAAAAAAAATAAAAAATATTATGAATCTAATTAGACCTTGCTTTATTATTATTTTTTTCCTTATATATTACTGCATAAATAAGGTCAAAGTTTAGTCAAATCATATCAGATTAAAAAGTTCTCATCAAATTTGATCAAGGAAAAGAAAAGTTCAAATTAGATTAGATAAGCAAAAATAAAACGAATTAAACATAGCTTATATGTATGTCCTTGTCACCTTGTGTATTTCATAACTTATGAACGTTATTTACTAACATGGCTAAATCTCCATTAAAACAAGCAATAAATGACAATGCACCAATGCAAACTACATGACTTTTCTAGTCTTAAACAAAAAATAATAGCTGGGAAAAAATCAGAATGGTAACTTTAAGGGAATTTGGTCTATTTTGAGACATAAAATTAACAAAAACTTAATGATGTTAATCATTTATTGTGATTAATACATAATTACTTCCTCTGTTTTTTATAAGCTAGAGTCAAATTTGCACATTTGTCGAGACACAACTTTGACCATCAATATTCTTAGTGAGAGATTAATAAAAATTATGAAAAAATTAATTTATAAAAGTAGACATTATGACAAATCCAACAACATATTATATAATCATATTTATATATTATATATCGGTTAAAAAAGTAAAGTCAATGATGACATGAATAATGAAAAATCTCAACTCTAACTTATAAAAAAAAGAAAACGGAGAGAGTATCATTTATAGGATATACATTGTTCATTCAAAAAATTTCGGGGATACACACACGATACATTTTTTCAAATCCTCAAGAAGTCCAGAGTATACGGAACAATTTCCATTTTTTTTTGAAAAAAAAAAAAAAACTAAACTACGAGTTTCATCAATCATCATCAACACATAAAAAGTAAATACAGTACTTGCATTTTTTGTACATATGAATGAAGAAGTGAATAACATTATAAAAATGAAGAAAGTAGATGATATTATGTACATACCTAAGTATATATAACTAATTCAAGAAATTTAAATACTATGTATAAATGTACAATAATATATGAGCTGTATGAGAATCAAGTCTGTTCAATTGTTTGCTCATTCAATGGTAACAGGTGGCTGAGCTTATAAGAAAAGAGAAATCAATCAGCAGCAGAAATATAGAGCGGCATGACGGAGAGGGGAGTAGCTTGGTCGAAGATGTCGTTAAGGTAGGGGCCGCGGTTTCTGGAGTAGTAAAGGTAGCACGGGGACTATGGGATATGTACAAGCTCATGTCTGGTGAAAGCTCTTCATCAGAAACAGAAAGGTATGATCATTGTACCCTTCATTACAGTGGATCTGACAGGAATCAAGTCCGAAGCAGGGGTGCAGGCTGTGTAATTAGAAATGAACATGGAAACCTTGTAATCGCGGCAGCTTACAACCTTGATCATCTCGACGAATATAATGTTGCTATAGCTGAAGCTATTGCTTGGAGGAACGGGTTAGAGTTGGCCAAAACCCAAAAGGTTAAACTTGATCGTATAAATGGTGATAATGAGGAGATCATAAAGCGCGTGCTTGGCCTAGAGCGGAAGCCTCCTTGTTTCCCTTCCTTGAATGAGATTATCGACGAGATTAAAAAGGCTCTATGCGAACAATCGATTGACCCTAGATCCCAGGTCCAACGCATTGGAACAACAGCTAACAAAACAACTAATGAATTGGCAATTTCGGGGTCTAAACTTGGGTTTCGTATGGAAAAGAGTTATGACAAGGAAGAAGATCTTCCTTTTAAGGTTGCCCAGTCATTCCAGCAAGATAAAAAAATGTGGAGGAATGGTGTCATGGCCGGTTTTTGCTATGCAACGTACTAGTTTATTTGTGTCGCTGTCGTGTATGTGCCAATAATGTGTGTATGGTACACCGGACTTTGGTACAATATGTAGTAAAGCTCTGCCTTCTGAATTGCTCAGTAATATAATGTAGTAGTACTCCGTATGTGTTGTGTGTCGCCTGTCGCGTGCCAATGTGTGTATGTTACACCGGACTTCAACTTTGTTGGTATGGTGTAAAGCTGTGTGCCTTTAGAAGTGTTTAGTTGATTCAGCAAGATCAAGTATTTAAGGGGCTGGACTTACTTTGGTATGAGCTCTTCCTTGGGGTGATAAGTTGATTCAGAAAGATCAAATATATGTTTTACGGAAGCGACTTTCAAATAAGTAGTTTATATTTTTGTAATTTATGAGTGTTTTGTTAACATGTAATGAAAACTTGTTCTCAAATAAAAATCACAACACATATGTAGTACTCGTAGTATTTTATAATTCATAATAAAAAAAAAAGACCATTATTAAAAAAAATACGAAATATTTAAAACTAGTTAAAAAACATAATAGTTTAAATCATACTCCGTAGTGTATCAAAATATTACGATTACTTATAACTTCACTTCAATTGACATACTACATACGTAGGTTGTTATTATAAGTTTATGACTAGGTGTATTATATCTTCCAACTAGCACAAATGGATTAGCTAGGGAAAATCGTATCTTGAGGTTACCCCTCCCCCCCAAAAAAAAAATTAAAAAATAAAAAATAAAATAATAATAATAATAATAATAATAATAAATAAATAAATAAATAAATAAATAAATAAATAAATAAATAAAAAAATAAATAAAATCCCATGGCAGCATGGAAATTAATCTTTTTTTAACATAATTTTTTAAAGTTTTACCATGCAATCCTTTCATGCTACACAACTCTGATCATACACTCATACTCACCTAATTTACCTTCATCCATATCCAATCCATACATCATCTATGGATAGGTGAATCGGGTGAAATTATATAAATACAATTAAAATTGTACTTTCATAACTAAAATCACGATTTGAAAAAAAGTGATTAATTAATTAAATTTTGATACATCTTTCTTATATTTGTTTTTTTACCAACGTAAAAACACATGTCAATTCCTAACATTACAAATAGAAATTAAATTATTAATTTATTTTTATATTTTTAAATATATATTTTTAACGAGTAGATGGATGAGTCTGGTTATGGATTGCAAGGTTGTCTCCGATGATTTGAAGGTCCTGTTCTAATTACAAAAATTAGGCCCTAAAATGTTTTAAAGGACCATTTTTTTAGAAAAATTTGAATTTTAGCACCACAAAATAACACGAAATGGTTTTTAACACTATCAAAAAAGAAACTTTTAATTTGATACCACAAAAAATTTAGAAAATTGGATTTTAGACCACTTAATTAATTTCGTCCAAGAATCCGTTAGGTAGGGTCACAGTGCCACGTGCGTGTCGCCATGTTATTGGTACGGTTACAAAAAAATAAAAAATAAAAAGGATTAATACTGTTTTTTAATCCCAACTTTTACAAATTTATTTTTAATAATCCCAACTTTGGATTATTCCTCAATAATCCCAACTTTAGAGTCGGTAATCATTCTTCAATCCCAAAAACCGGTAACCTGATGAATGAGTAAAAAAAATTTAAAAAAATTATTTGACACGTGTCAGATGTTAATTGCTACAAAAAATTAAAATTAATAAATAAAATCAAATAAATTAAGAAAAAAAAATTTCTTTTTCTTTTTTTTTTCTGTTTTATCTTTTTGAAAAAAAAATTTCTGTTTATTTCTTTTTAAAAAAGTAAATTAAAATAAAACCAAATCAAAATAAAATAAAAAAAATCAAGAGAAATGAAAAAAAATAAAAGGAATTTCTTTTTTTTTCATTTTTTTAAAAAACAAAATTTCTGCTTATTTCTTTTTCTAAAAATATATTAAAATATATAAAATAAAATAAAAAAAAATCAAGAGAAAGGAAAAAAAATAAAAGGGAATTTTCTGTTTTTTTTTTAAAAAAAAAAATTGATTCAGTAAAAAAATATGGACCACTCACGTGGCGACACATGTCATATGTGAATTACGTTAAAAAATAAAAATAAATAAATTAAATCAAATAAATTAAGAAAAAACAAAACAAACTCCTTTTTTCTTTTTTTAAAATTTTTTTTCTGTTTTTTTCTTTTTCAGAAAAAAAAAATTGGTTCAGTAAAAAAAATTAAAAAAAAAATTGTTCAGTAAAAAAAAAAAAAAAAAATTGGACCACTCACGTGGCGACACGTGTCCAACAACCTACAATAGAAGGTTGTTGACTTTTGTTGACCGGTTTGGGTATGAAGAAAGATAACCCACCTTAAAGTTGGGATTATTGAGGAATAATCCAAAGTTGGGATTAATAAAAATAAATTGGTGAAAGTTGGGTTAAAAAACAGTATTAATCCAAATTAAAAAACCCTAAAACTAACCCAGTCACCTCACCACTACCATCGGCACCCTTTCCCCACCCCATCCGCGCAGTTGCAGCCCCTGCTCCACCTCCGGCGCACCCCTTCCCCAGCCCGCGACTACCGAAACCCACCCCCTCCTTTTCCCCCAACCGTAAACCATTCGCAGCCCGTACGTTTCCCCACCGAAAACAGTCGCCCTTCTAAAAGAATGACAACTGAAATTGGCCACTAACAATCGCTATCGACCGATTTAATTTTGGGGATGAGTGGTCGATATCGACCCTATTAGCCGATTTCGGCCATGAGTGGCCTATTTTGGCCGGGAAAAGGGGAGCCGTTTTGGGTGGGAATTGACTGGCGAACGATTTGGTGCTGGGGTAATTGATTGGCGGGCGATTTGGCGGTGGGGAATGGGTGGTTTTGGTGGTTGGGGCTGGGGAGGAGGTGCACCGGAGAGGGGCATAGGGTGGCGGCTACGCGTTTTGGGTGGGGAAGGATTGCCGGTGATGGTGGTGGTGCGGTTGGGTTAGTTTTAGGGTTTTAAATTTTTTTTTTATTTTTCTATTTTTTCTTAACTAATAACATGGAGACACGTGACAGCGTGGACCCCACCTAACGGATTCTTTGATGGAATCAGTTAAGAACTGGAAAATCAAATTTCTTAAAATTTTTGTGATGTTAAAATAAACTTTTTTTTTTTTGTAGTGTTAAAAATTAATTTTGTGTTGTTAAAAATCAATTTTGTGTTTATTTGTGGTGTTAAAAATCAAAATTTTCTTTTTTAATGACTGTTTTTTACAAGATATATAGGCTTAAATGCTTAATGTTACCAAGTTCTTATGTAGTATTACTAATAATAATTTGATGATAAACAAAAAAAATTATTTAAAAAGTATTATCCTTCTAACATTCTTCGAAGCAAAATTGTCAAATTCTAGTATTATATACTCCGTATATCTTCATCATCAATTGTTTCCAAAATTTCATTCTCAATTGTCTTGTTGATGGACATTAGAATTGAGAATAGATTACTCCTATAATTTTGCCTAAAACAGTAAAGTTCAATTTATTTAATTTAGATATTCAAAAACTAAAGTCAAAAACATTAATTTTGGAAAAGAAAAAAGAATTGGAAGAGTTGGATTTGTTTGGAAATTGGTGGGCTTGTTTTACGGGGAAGATGAAGATATTTTAATTTATTTATTTTAAGTTGAAATGTTGAGCTAATTTTTTCTAAATTTTGGACCCTGATTCTCGGGAGCCCTATTCTGTGGACCCAAAAAACCGGGTATGATTGATTGGGTAATAGGTTGGATGTATTATCACTCCAAGTCAATCCGATCATTCACCTGATTCATTCATTATCTAGCCGTCACTTGTTTTAATTCGAGTTTTTATCCATATTTTTAAATCGGTGGATATTTATCCATTGGATTTAGAAGATATTACCACCCCTACCTCCAATGTCTCATTTTTCTCTTCTCCAACCACCATCTCCACCATCCCACTAAATAATCACGTCTGATCAGCGTCATTACAATTGAATCATCCTTCAACATGTTGTTGACGTCACTATTGTGTTTTAGTGTTTAGGTGTCGTTCACTCAAAAATTAAGGATTAATTAATCTAATTATCACCATCAAAAGAAGCCTACTCCTACTCATCATAGTACGAAAAAGCAATTTTCGTAGAAGCTTTATTCTGCTTGTCGGCACACTGAATATCTTACTATCTAAGTTTACCATTAGTCTACTCTTATCCTTAATTGGTCGCCCTAAATTCATTTAAAAAACTTAATCCCTTCATTATAAAATTGTAAAGTATATGTCGACCCCGGCCCTTTGATAATAAGTGCTTTTTGATAGCCTTATGTTGTTTTTTTAGTGGTTCGGGCACCAGTAGATGCTAGATGGGTACTACTAATCCTGGGCACCGTGTCAGGCCGTGCCGCCGCGGGCCGTGCCTGGCGGGCCACGTGCTGGTTCGTGCCGTGCCGGTCGTGCCGGCGGGCCCAGGATTTCGTGTTGTGCCGTGCCGGCCATTTTCACAGGCCAGCCCACGGCACGGCACAGCACGGCACGGCTGGTGCAGTTTTCAAATAATTTTTTTTTTTTTTATTTTTTTTTTTTATATATATATATGACAACATTATAAATTAATAAGTTTATAATGTATATAAGTTATAAAATTAATAAGTTTATAATGTATATAAGTTATAAATTAATAAGTTTATAATGTATATAAGTTATTAAGTTATGAATTTTATAATTATAAGTTGAATATTTATGTTTTATAATTTGTATATTCAATATTTATATTTATATATTTACTTTATACTATTACTTTAAAATTTAATGTTTATGATTTATTAGTAATTGGTATAATTTTATTTTTTTTTAATATGAATTTACAAATTGTAACAAAACGGGAAAAAAAGGCAAATTGGACTTTGGATGTGAATAATGCGTACTTTATATTATTATTACTTGAGTTGAGAAAATTGTACAATGATAACAATGATAAAAATCATACAATGATGGTATTAAACAAAAATTGGAAAATGATAAAATTGATATTTTTAAAATCGTACAATATACAATAATTGTCTATTCTTCTTCTCCTTCTTCTTGCTTGTCTTCGTCTTCGTCTTCGTCTTCGCCTTCGCCTTCAAGGTCATCGGCTAGTTGCATAGATTGGGAACTAGCCGAACCCGAACCGGAAGCGGAGGTTCCTTCTTCGTTGTCGTTGTGGTCGTAAGAACGGTCTTGTGAGCGATTTTCCGCATCCAACCAATCTTTGAAACACACGCACATTTCTAGTGTTTCGGGTTTTAGACTTGTTCTTTTATCGTCTAAAACCCTTCCGGATGCGCTGAAAGCTCGTTCGGAGGCGACGGAGGAAACTTGGATAGCAAGAATGTCTCGTGCCATTGCCGCCAAAGTTGGATGCTTCGAGCTTTGTTGTTTCCACCATGCAAGGAGGTCG